AAATTCTTTGTTTCTTGGACTTTCCAAGAGAAATGGTATTGTCCAAATTTTTTCTCTGGGTTGTTCTTTTTGTATATTTTGTTAGATATGATTTGTATTTAAACATTTTGTTTTGTCGTTTTCGTTGGGTTTCCTTGCCGTGTTAATTTCGTTTATTTCTTGTGCAGTTTGTGTAGTATTGATGGGTTCAATGTAATAATTGTGAAGGAGTTCCAATTGATTTTCATATATATGTGATGTAAAAGGTTGTTCATATATAATAGGTTCGTAGTCGCTTTCGACTTCTATCATATTTATGGAGATGGTATTTTCCGTATCACTTTCTGTGTCTGATGATTCACAGTTTATTTGATTTAGTTGTAGTTCATTATTTCCTGTGTCATCAATACCTGGGGGGTCTGATTTTGTTTCTTCATTTGACTGTACTTGATTAATTTCAGTGATTTTTTCAATTAAGTCTGTATCTGATTCCTGTATGTTATTGATATTTGTAGTGTTTGTTTCAATTCGATTAACATATTGTAGTTTTAGATTTTCTGTTTCTTCAAGTTTCATTGTGATTTCCGCTTGCTCTTGTTTGTCTACTAGTTTTCGAAAATCTAAATCTGGCTCTCGAATTGAAGAAGGATGAGATGCTCTCTTTTTCATTGCTATTTTCCTTAATTGAAGTGTTAAGGTCATCATTTTCTGTCATTTTTGTGTTTTTATAGTAATGTGTATTTAGTGAATATGCTTTTCGAACTAGTGTTTCGATACGTACTGCTAATTGTTTAATGGTTTCATTTGGTGATCTGCGAATTTCATTACATAAAACTCTTTGGTGTTGTTTATTTCTTTCGGAGTCAAACATTTTTGAAATTCTTGAGTAAATCTTTTCCAGTCTGATTTTATTTCTATAGGTAATACTAAAAACCATTTTTGAGCTGCGCCATCTAAGGTTGTTTGTATCAACGCTGTGCGTCGATGTATCCATTTTTTATGTAGCGGCGTATTAATTGGTTCAGGTCCTATATTTAAAATTAAATTTGCTGTTACTGCATTTAAATAATCTTCTACAGAATATTCAGAGTCTGTTCCTGTGAATACTATTAGTGGTTTATTTGATGTTATTGATGATCCACCCATAAGGTATGGATTCATTGTCATCTGTAGTGACTCTGCGGCATTTGGCATTTGCAAAAAATTTGAAAGTTGATTTTTTGTTATCTCGTGTTGCTGAAGGTAATATGGGAGTGGTATTTCATTTTGCATTTGAGTTGGTTGATACGAGTGCATAGTCATTGGGTTTTGTGGTTGAATTGGTTGAAAAGATTGTGTACTTATTGGATTTGACATATGGATTGGTTGTTGATTTCGTGTATCTGTTGGATTTGGAGAAAAAATTCTATTATATGTATGAGGTCGTCGCGATCCTTGTTTGCGATATTCTTGGGTATATGGTGCAAAAATGTCTGGTTGTAAATCATCATCGTCAGATGATAAGTAATCCGTTTGATGAGGTGCTTGTTTTTTATTTTTATTTTGTTGAAAGAATGGGTAATTTTCACTGTGGTCCTGTGGAGGACGTGAATTAGTCCGAAAATTTACTGAGTTGGTTGTTGTCATTGGGTTATCCCAATAGTGAGAACATACATGATTTTTATTAGTTTTTCGTGGGGGATAGTTTGTTTTTGATGAATGTGCATAATTATAATTGTGTTCTGCAAAAGTGTTTCTTGTGAACGTTCTTCGTGGTTTTGATGGTACTGTCATAGGTCTATATGTTTGATAATCCATTTGTGAATATTTTGGAGCAACCGAAGGTTTAACGGTTGATTGTAAAATTACTTGTGCCAATGAAGTATTTGTATTTTTTGGTGTTGTTAAATTTGGATGTATTGGTGAAATACTTTGTTGTGTAGTTGTTGTTGTTTGGACAATTTCTTCATTTATGAAGTGTGATGGTGTTTGGATATCTTGTTGTGTAAGATTTCTAGTTCCATTAAGGTTTTTTTTTATGTATGACGGTCAAATTTAAACTGTTATTTCGTGTATCGGGTAAAAATGTGTTGTAGTTTAATGGTGTTGCATCAATGGTTAGTGGTACTACTTTTACATAATCTCTTTGGTAAGATATTGTAGTTATTGCTTGACTTGAGATTGATTGTGGAATGTTTATAAATGCATGATGAGACCATTCAGGGTCCCAAACGTAGTCTGACTGTTCTGTAATGGCAGTATCATCATTTGGATTTTGAGGTCTGAAATTTTTTCTTGCTTGTGAAATTAAGTCTACATTGTGTGTGAAATAATCTATTATAAACCATGCCCAAATTTTTTGTAAGTCATGTTTTGTGTGTTGTGAAACATCGTCTTTAGTGAAATTTTCTTTGATGATATGTAGGAAGGTTGAAAATAATGTGATTTCCTGTCGTACTTTTGTATGTTTGGATGTTTCAGTTGGTGAGATACTTTGAAATTCAGTTTTTTCTAATACAGAAATATAGGTATATATTATTGCAAAAACTTCGTTAGTGAATATGGAGTTTGCTCTTTGTGAATTATGATATTGTATGGTTTTAATATATTCTAAGAATAATTCTAATTCAAGATCGTCTGTTTGAATTACATATTTTCGATGATTCGGATTTGGTGTGCTGAATTCTATGGTGTAGATTCCGTATTGTTGTGTTAAATTACATATATCTTTCAGATAATGTTCAATAATTTGTCTTTTGATTTTTACATCTGAGAATTCTGCTTTACATGGGCTGATTCCGGGTTCAAACAAATTTAAGAGTAAATTCTTGCAAAAGTCATGTTGCCCTCTATTATCGGGTGCATCTATGAGGAAGGGATAAACCTCTTCGTCATCTGGACTATCGTCACTTTGAGTGTGGCTGTGGCTCATTTTTTTGTTTAATGACTGTTAATATATAACTATCGATGTGTCTAATTGGTTGATTCCAATTATACAAATGTACTGGTTTGTGTTTATATTGCTTTTTTATTCTTCTTTTTCCTCTTGTTGATGAATTTGAAGTTGTTTCTGAATCGGAAAAATATAATTGATCGTGAATGGGACAATTTTTATCAATTGATTCCTTTAATTTGTAGAGTTCATCTAAATTGCTGGCTTCTGATTCTGAAAATGCGTTTCTACTTTTTGGAAATCTTTTTCGTGTGATTTGTCTTTTTATTGTCAGTCGTTTTGTTCTAATGTATCCAACTGTTTGTGTATGAGGTGTAATTACAAGGTCGTATTTTTGGTTGTCTATCTCACAGTTGTGTAAAACGATTGTTTGTTTATTTCCTAGATTTTTGAATGACATAAGGTTTAGGATGAGGGATGAAAAAAGTTGTTAGGTGATTTCTATTTTCTTAGACTGTTAGTCCTTACAATTTTTTGGTTAGCTTAACCTGGGTCTTTTTGTTCAGGGTTGGAAAGAAAAGTATATCGATTCCGAAGAATGATTTTTTACTTTCTCGTGGCTAGTCTAAGCTAAGGTGTTAACTTACTAAATCTTACTTAGGGGTAGTGATTGTGTTCAAGGGTTGGAGAATAGTAAATCGATCCACAAGGTTCAGGTATAATTAGAACGCAAGTAGTTCGTTAGATACTATTTTAAACTTACTAATCCTAAGATTTATCCTGGGTCTGGTAAGAGGAGGGTTCAAGTGAAGGATGAATAACCGAAGTTCTTCACTGTTTATTCTAATTTGAATGGTTAGTTTTATTTAAAAATTTCTATTAATCTTGGGTCGTTTGGAAGGGTTGGATAGTGAATCGACGTTTGAGGTCGTTAGACACTTGCTAAGTGGGTGGGGAGAACAAAATTGTTCTTTTTGATCCAAGGATAGGCCTTGATGATCAGGTTTTAATTTTAGTGAAATAGAAAATTAATTAAAATCCAGGGATAAGCCTTGATATTTAAGTGAATTTAAGTTTAAAATGGTTTAAATTTATCTAAGAAAAAGATTTAGTTTTTTAATGATATTAGTGAACTTATGATTGCTGTTATGTTTAGGTGATAAAGCTGGGACAACAGATGATTTTATGATTACTAACAATTTATTGTCATGCTACTAATTTTTATTTTCATTTTCAATAAATATTTTTCAAACATGTTTTATATAAGACTGCAGAAATTAAGAAAACGATCTGAGATCTTTTTATCAATCGTTATTGCATATTAATAATTTTGTTTAGCGCCTGAAATGATCATGAAGATTTACTTCAAAATTTTATGTTTGCAAATGAAAATCTAAATTCATTGCTAATAAGATTCTAAATATAAAAGTTTGTGTTGGCTTTTGCCGTACGATCATAAAACTATTTGGTAAGTTTCTACTTTGTCGTATGTCGTCTCTTGTTCGAGGTCTTCTTCCAATTCCGGGTAGTTCTGTTATCGTTCGGAATATCGGCTCTGATCTATTGAGTCGTAGAGACATTTCGATTAAATTATTGTCGTATAACATTTTAAAAATGTTTTGTCTAATTTCTAATCTATTTTTTGGTTAATTCTAAGCTATTAAGGTCTTATTCGAGACTTATGGTCGCACCAGATGAGTTATGACCGATGTGGTTAACTCATAGAGTAATTTCGGATAGGGTACACCGTCTGCTCGTCACGCTATCTTATTTTCGGCCGGATAGATTCGTGCAACTTCTTAGTCTAATACCGATCCTAATCTTACTCTTATACTTTCTAGTCTCAGGGTGTTTAACTAGTCTCTGCTAGGCTCAATAGATCTAGGGTATACTGGTTTGTTGCGGCGGCTGAAGTTCTCTTGGAGAGGCAACTAATTTCTAAGTTAAATTCAAATCTCTCTGGTGCTGAAATTACAAGTAATTTCAGCACTTACAAATAAGTGGGTTGTTAGTTAGATGGATCATGATTGGTTAATATTAAATACTTTACAGTGGTAAAATATCTAATTTATCCAATCATAAAATGTAGTTTGGATCAGGTTCCAAAATACATTGTGTCAAATAAAACACCGGGAGATGAGCATCTTACGCCAGTGTGCGTTGCAATTGTCGTCCTGGCATGTTTCTTCACACGACACAGTGCGTAGATTGGAGTTGGCTATGTTTTGGTTGGTAGTGGTGCAGTTACTGGACACAGCTGTGGAAGCACACTTTCGTTCTTCGAACAGGATGTGAACAGATGAGGAGAAGTCAGTGTTTTCTGAAACAAGTTCACTTCTTCGTCGACACCGGGAAACTTCACTGCTTTTTGTAAAATGAATAACGGCTCTAATTAAATTAAAAATTGACGCCATATCCCCTTTGTAACAATTACGCTATGTCAAAAGCGAATAACAACTTAATTATCGTTTATTTTAAGTTTAGTTTAACAGCAAGAAAGTTATGCATTTGCATCACTTCTGACCCATGTATGGGAAGCCCTCGGTATAGATGACCTTGCTGAAGCATAAATCTTCATCTGATAAACACGTCACTGATTTGAAAGACGTGCATGCACCATTTGTAGACAAACAAGACAGGCATTTTCGCCCTGATCCAGACAGTCCCGAAAAAGGCAGCGCTGAAAACAAAATCGCAATAAAATTCTAGCTTAATGTAGATGTGTTTTCTGTAGGTTGTCGACCAATTACCAGAAATTTGCCCATTTGTTTTAACCAATAAATTAATTTTTCAAAAAATGAATGCTTCTTTTTATGAACCTTATTTTTTATCGCTGTTTTCAAAAATTAAATTTCGAAAGTTCTAAACAAACAAGAGTTTGTGTCTTACATTTTTTCAAAAGTTAGGGTTATTACAGGCACATTATTTAGCGTATTTTTCCAAATCTAATCTGTAAAAAAAATCAATCTGTGCAAACTAACGTTCATTGTTGCAACCTGAAACTCCGCAAGTCTTTATACACGTCACTGCAACTGCCCTCGTATCATTATTAACTCCAATTTGAATAGTATCAACCGAACATCCGTCATCGAAATCTGATTCGGAACATCCGCGAACCACTATTTCCTGCTCGACTTGTCCTTCTCTGCCTAGCACGACTATATGCGAAGTGGTGCAGTACTGATGAGTGTTCCGAGGACATGTTTGAGTTTGTCTTGGCAGAGGGTTCATGGCGTGACAAGAGCCGGAAACACTGTTGTGACTGCGGCACTGGATGCACTCTATCGCTGTTTCTAAAAAGGATAATTAGGCGTATGTGAAATATTTCAAAACAAAAAACTGAAAACATTCTTAGTTCTTAGTTTTCTTCACTTTTTTGTACGGAATCTGAACTATATTTGAAAATTACATTACTAATTTCCGTCCGACATCAATAAAACAACAAGCATCGCAGACAACACCATACTATATTTCAATGTTTCATGCAGGAGTGGTCAAAATAAAAAAGATTACTCACGTGATGGCGAAACCTGAGCGCTTGCTGAAACAAAACAAACAGTTGATTTTTACGCTGAAACTTAATTTGCAACTGAATATCGATATCAACCTTATGCTCTGATTTGAAAATTTTTCAGAGTTGGGTCAATATAGCTCCTTCTCACTTGGTCTAGAGGTAAAGCGGTTGCCTTTGCACCTTGAGGTTTGTGGATTTAAACCAGGCCGGACATTGTTTTTTTTTGGGAATTGCCGACTTTCTTTGCTGTTTGTTTTTGGTCAGCTCAGATGCCTATCTCAGATTTTTCTTCAGCTGTAAGCAATTAGCAATGCAGTTACAAGCGTTGTTTTTTGAATTTTGTTAATTCTAAATTTCTTAGCCCTAACTTACTGCATGCTTATACTTGATACAAAAAATACAGTGGGTTTCAGTCCCAACAAAAACTGCACGCTTTGCAAACTGCAAAATTTTTGCTTTCTGAAAAACAATTCGAACCAGCGGTGTCTGCTAATTTTTTGAAATTATTGAATCAATTTAAAGGAACTAATAACTATTTCTTAGCTCATAATTATTTTTTTTTTCCTACTACAAATCTTTTAAAAAAATGAATTTTCCAATTTTTAATAATGTCGCTTACGTGGTTGTTTTTTTTTCAATTGAGTCTCTGGCATAAACTTTAAAATAAACTGATCCAGCAGATTTCGCTTAGTTCTCCATTGAATCCCAGAAATTAACTGAAAGAAACAAAAATACAACTTCTCATAATAAAATTTTACTCCAAAATATGCCAAGGAAAATCTACATCACACTTTTTGTTCCGACTTTCGATACGAAATTAACGGAATATTTGTGCTCGGAGTGGGTTTTTTTTCTTCAGACAAATTTTGACTTTTTAACTAGCCATTTTTGACAGAAATTTTTAATATCATTCAAAAGGTATTGTTTTCCTGAGCCTAATTTTGGCCAATTTTGGACAATTAACGCGCGATATATTTCGCGCTATTAATGCGTAAGCGGAGATTTAATCCGTCTTAGAAATCGTTCCAAATTGGTTGAAAGAAGCTTATTTGCCATAAATGATTTGTTACTAGAAGCGAAATTTATCACTTTGTAAATTTTTCTCAATTTTTTTTACAACATTTCTTTCATCTTATTTCCTTTTTGCATTTAATTTTTTCGTGTTATCACTGCGTAAGAAAGCTTTTAATACAAGCCTTTGGTACAATGATACCTATTTCTCATGAAAAGCAACTTAATTTCTGAGGCGAAAATACTCGTTACGGATACCATTATTAGTGAACGAATCTCATGCTTTTCATTTTCAAGTGCATAGGTGCACATCATTGTGTTTTTGAATAGTCATTTTGGAACAAAAGCTAAGATTCATTGTGCTAACAAAACGAGGAAAAAAACTAACAAGACTGCTCGTATCAGGGCAAAGCCCTGAATGTTCCGACTGCCTTTTAAGGTTTATGAAGCAGTAATAACATTTAAAAATTAAATTAAAAAAAAAAAATGAAATTTCCCCCCCCCTAAAATTTGAATTTTTTTAAAGAAAATCATGCCCCCACGCGCCATATAACATACCAAAGGATAGATTTCGCTCCTTGTAACACATCAGTTATGGCAAACAAGCTTCTTTCAACTAATTTGGAACGATTTCTAAGACGAATTAAATCTCCGCTTACACGTTAAAGCGCGAAATATATCGCGCGTTAATTGTCCCAAATCGGCCGAAATGGCAATATTTAAACCCCTATAACTTTACGAAAAATGATCACAGGTGAAATATTTTTCAAATTTAGGCTCAGGATAACAATTTTTTTTGAACGATATTGAAAGTTTTTGTCAAAAATGGCTAGTTAAAAAGTCGAAATTTGTCTGAAGAAAAAAAAAACCACCGCGAGCACAAATTTTCCATTACTTTCGTATCGAAAGTAGGAACAATTACACACATATTGAACTGATCAAACATTGTTTTTCTAGGAGCCCAAATTCAAGCCTTGTACCCAAAAACGAGTGAGTAAACAGTGGATTGATTTTGAGTTTTCACGGATATTTGTAAAAACTTTAAAAAAACATGGCTGGAGTAGTTGTTGCCCAACTTGATAGAGCACGTTGGTTGATTATTGAAAATTTGATTAAGTCATTACCTCACAGTAGCCACTAGTCAACAACTTCAGATAAATTGGAGTTACAGGTTGGCTAGTTAACAACTTCCAACAAATGTTCAATGCTAAGTTCAAATTCAATAAATTTGCTCATTGGGAAATGGTTGCTTAAGCATGTTGTGCTTTAAAAGCAGTTTGATTTTCGCCAATTTTGTCGTATCTTTTCAATTCTTGAGTATTTTTTTGTGCAGTTTAGTTGCTTTTTAATGGTTATGAATAACAAACAGCAGTGTTAGCTATATCTACTCTGATAACTTACAGACAAAGTTTTTTTCAATTTTTTTCCCGCAGACAACTTTTCTTTAATCCAATGAGCGAACCTAATTTTAGCGAGCCTTAAAAAATGCCAAAACCCTTCCCATTTTGTCCAGAGGTATTGCGATTGCCTTTGAGCCTTAAGATATGTGGTTTGAAACATGGCTGGACCGTTTTTTGATTTCAAATCGAAAGAAAAATGTCCGGGAAAAATTGAATTGCCGACATTTCGTGATTTTGCGTGTTATTTTTGGCTTCATGGGTGGTTGCGTTCTATGGATGTTTTT